CTACCGGTCGCACGCCGGTGGATACCCCCTGCGACAATGGCCGCGTCAAATTCTTCAAGCAGGGAGAGGTACTGGTGGTTTAACGGGTATGGCACAAACACGTTTCTGTGAAGCCTGGCATTCAACCCTCTTCAGAAGGCTTCGGCCCTTCACGATGTGGATCATATGGAAGACACTAGATGGCCAAAATACATCAACCCGAGAGGCCTGGGAGCATGTTCTACGACTCCTACGCACGGAATACCAGGAGGATTGGCATCGAGCAACCACGAATAGACAAATGAGGTAGGCTGGGCTGGCGCCTGGCCGGCTGGGCCCCGGCTGGTTGGGCCTGGGGGGGTCCGCCCAGCTGAACCGGACGATGCAAAAACACGAAGGAAATTTTTTGAAGGCGGGGTTGTGCTGCGCTACCCTGAAGGACCCCGAATCTGCAACAAAAAAGTGAACTTGGGGGGTTGGGGGGATGCTGGGGGATGGATGTCAGCAAAGGGGGGGGGGGGGGGATGTCAGTGGTGGTATGTCACAGACCTTGCAGGTGTGTATGTGGAAGAAGACGACGAAGAGGACGAGGAGGACGACGACGAAGAAGAAGAAGAGCACGGGGATGACAAGACCGGAAAAAAAACAAGCCTGGAGAGAAACCACGTCCACATTGCTCCACAAACGATTACAAAAGTCTCTCTCTCTCTCTCTCTCTCTCTCTCACACACACACACACACACACACACACACACACACACGGGGCGACCTCATTCGCGATCGGAGTGGCTTCCCTCGAATTTAGATAACCGTCTACTGCAGTTATCTGAGTTGGGGTCATCCTCCACAACCTCTGTGCGAGCTTTGTGGTGGCGAATCTTTTCTCTATTTTTGCACCGGGCTCAGCGGTCTTCGGCTTGCGGGGCTTGCCACGAGCACGCTTAGGCTTCGGAGCAGCATCCTCCATCGGTTCCTTTCTCTTCCTCCCCACACTGCGCACCCACAGGTGGTCATGTTGGACAGCCTCATTGCTGGGAGGGAAGTCGGGTGTGTTCTCGACAGAGACACAACCGGTCGTTGCCTACAAGTGTACACAGTCCTCACTGCAGGCTGGTGCTCCTCTTCGCCGTCCTCCATGGCATCCTCCTCTCCTTGACTCTCCATCCCCTCCTCGTCCTCTTCATGCTCCATCTCGTCGTCCTCTTCTTCATGCTCCATCTCCTCCTCTTGTTGCTGCTCCATGTCGCTCTTGTCTTATTGCTGGTCCTTCTCCTCCACCTCTTTGTGGTGCTCCGCCTCTTGCAGGTCTGCCTCCTCCGCCTTTTTTGGCTGCACCTTGTCATCCCCCTCTTTTTGGAGTGCGACTTCCGTCACCTTCAAAACTGCTTCACTTTGCTGGTGCTCTTCCTCTTCTCACTCTTGCACAACGTCCAATGGCCGACTCGTCTCTGGTTCCTTCTCCCCAACCTTCTTCTTACGTCTCTCAATCTCCCTCCGAGTTGGAATTGCTATACGCCAGGCATCCTCTTCCATAATCCGTTTTTTTACGACATCTTTATCGCGATCTGTTAATGCCTTTGCACGGTCGGCCTTCGTCTCATCTTCATCAACTGCAGCACTTTGCAGCAGCAACTTGATGTTCGTGTCCACGTGATGGAACTCAACTTCATACTTAGGATGGTATTGGGACCCCCCTGGGCTGTGTAGAGACCACAGACTGCTTCTCTCTCCGACGCCCTGCAACTTCTCTCTACCGACATAAGTAGTGCCCGGGACTGATGGCTGGGCTCCTAGCTCAAAATCGGAATCACTTTCATCCTCCTCCTCCTCCACGCCGCTAGTCTCATCCAAGAATCCACACTTCCCTTTCCACAACTCATCATCCAAGTCACTGTCGTCAGTGCGCTCGTCCTCTTCGTCCTCAAGCTTCTTCGGAATACTTCCCTTCGGTGTCTTCACGAAGTTACTTTGCCGCACCAACTCCTCATCCGTCTTCTCAGTTTCGTCCTCGGGGCCCTTCAAGATAGATCCATCGTTTTCGTCTGGCTCCGGAAGAGCCTCAAAGAAAGAATTCCACAGATCAACGTAGCCCTCGCTGTTGGCATCACTGTTGTTGGTAGCACGCAGTAGTTGCATGTCCCAATGGATGTACGCCAACTTCTCCAATGTTTCGGGATTCAAGCTGTTCCTCCTTTTGGAATGCATGAAGTCCATGGATGACCAATTTCTCTCAGTCGGGGTTGTTGTACTCCACATGCCCATCACTTTGATGGCAATGGCCTGCAAGTCGGGGACATCGCCGTGACGGTGTGAGCTTCTCGCAATCAGCCTTGGCATCGGTCTTCCTCATCTTCTTGTCCTTTCTCTTGGGCCCGTTCGGCGTGGGCGCCTTGTGAAACTCGTGCAGGTCACCCAAAACATCACAAAACATCAAGGTGGTCTAGCCTTTTCCAAGCACCTCCAACTTGTCTCTGCAGGTAACGCATCGCGTTCTGCACAATTGCACTGTCCCGATTATAAAGCCACCATGGGTTTCTCCTGTGCGGGTCTAGAAGAAACACCAGTGCATGAACTGGCTGCCGCATCATCTTCACACGATCTCTGACTTTGTCCATGACGCTTGTTTGCTGCTCCTCAGTGAGAACCACGTGAGCTAGTTTCCTGTCAATCAGGTCGTCGTATTTGATGAGGTTTGTTGGCGATGTTCCATCCCGATCCATCTTCCTCAGAAGGCTGTACAACGGTTCCATCACATCGACCACCTTCTTCAACTCCGTCCACGAAGAAAACAGCGCAGGCATTGGCAAAGTTGTGGGAGCAGATCATGAGGGAGATAGGGGTGCATCGCATCAACGCGATCTGCACAGACAATGCCGAGGTGAACAAGAAGGCTGCTCATATTTTGGAACGCCTCACTGACAAAGACATTGCAAGGATTTCATAGTTTCCTTGCGTTGCGCATTGTTGCAGCCTTTTGCTGCGAGACATCAACAAGGTAGAATGGGTGAAGAGCACTGTCAAGAGAGGTTACACGATTGCGAAGTTCATCCGGAACCACCACTGCACGAATAGCCTGATGATGTCCATGGACGATTCCCTGACATTGCCTTGTTCGAAGGAAGTTCGGTTCGGGTTAGCGTACATGATGTTGGTGAGGTTTCAGAACAAGAGGGCAGTGTTGTCGGATATGGTGAATCATCATCATCTTCTTCTTCTTCACGTATCGCACAGACATCCACCATATCCCACCTTTGTTTTTTTATTTGTTTTGTGAGGGGTTGAAAGGGGGGCCCGGGGGGGTTGCGTTCGGTGATTGTTGGTGACTGCTCCCACACGTTGATGTTCAATGGCGGGCGGCGGCAGTGGCGTTGCAGCAGGCAGTGACAATGGAGAATCGAGAAGGAGGAGACCTCGGCATCGACGGACAAAGGAAAGGTCAGTGCCAGTACCAGTGCTCCCACATCTGGGGTGACTGGAAAGGAACCCACGCCGGCATCAGACCCCTCTTTGTTCGTTCCTCAGGATGACACGAGGCAACAGCAATTGCAGCGCGCCCGGGAGGTGTGGAAATATGTTATACACGATCAAGAAGCCCTGCCGAAGGGTCGAGGAGAGTATTGGCTGAAGTGCCCGTTATGCACGCAAATTTGGAGGGGCACGAGCACAAGGGCAATGAAACATTTTTTGAAGTTGTTGAAGCCATGCCCCTTGAGGACAGGGGAGATAGTACACAAGCTCGTGGTCGCCGATGCGAAGGTGCTGCCGACCGACAAAAATATGAGGTACCTTCTGAAAAACTATAGGCAGTTGCATGACATTCCGGAAGGGGGGGTCACTGCTACGGAGACTCAGGAGGCGGAGTCGCTCGTTTGTGAGTACGAGGAGCCGCAACCACCAACTACTGCGGGGACGACACCACCAAAAACAGCTTCGTGAACAGAGTCGGTCGCCGCTGCAGACGAGGGGTTTGCGAAAGGTTCAGGGTCAAACACGAGGACAACATCATTGCAACAAACATCAATTAAGAGATGGGTGGACAACGCTGCACAAAAGAAGTTGGATATAGCGTGGGCGGAGGCGATGTTCCGTGTTGGTATTGTGTTCAACTTCCTGAATTTTGACACGACGCTGAAGTTCCACGAAGTTTACTTGGAAGTGGCGAATGTGCGACCAAAGGTCAAGCTGCCCTCGTACAAGCATATGAGAACTGTGATGCTTGACTTCATCTACTTGCATATTCAAAAGCAAGTGCATCCTTTGACAGCCTGTTGGGACGAATCTGGTTGTATATTCATCACGGATGGGTCATCTGACTGTCAAGAGCGCCCTGTCATGAACTTCTTGGCAGCGGGGGAGAAAGGTGCAGTTCTGGTGGCCACAGTGTCAATAGAAGGTGAGACTAAGAAGAAAAAGAAGATGATGATGATGATGATGATGATTGGTGGTGGAGTATGGCGGCTAGGTGGGTGAGAAACAACGGCGAGAAGAAGAAGAAAAAGAAGATGAAGATGATGATGATGATTGGCAGTGGAGGATGACGGCCAGGGGGCGAGAAACAATGGTGAGAAGAAGAAGAAGAAGAAGAAGAAGAAGAAGGAGAAGAAGAGGAAGAAGAAGATGGGTGGTGGAGGATGGAGGGCGGGGTGGGTGGGCGAAAAGAAGAAGGAGAAGGAGGAGAGGAATAATAATAATAATAATAATAATAATAATAATAATGATAATAATAATAAGAAGAAGAAGATGGGTGGTGGAGGCTGGTGGACAGGTGGTAATAAAGGGTGGGTGAGAAGAAGGAGACAAGGTGGCCGAGAGGAAGAAGAAGAAGATGAGTATGTTAGGTGGTGGAGGATGGCGGCCAGGGGGTGAGGATGATGTAGATGGGTGGTGGAGGATGGAGGGCGGGGGGTGAGGATGTAGATGGGGTGGGCGAGAAGAAGTAGTAGTAGTAGTAGAAGAGGAAGAAGAAGAAGGTGATGAAGATGGGTGGTGGAGGAGCAGAGGAAGATGAAGAAGGTGATGAAGACGGGTGCTGGAGGAGCCGCGGCCCCAGGTGCGCCTGCACTAGACGCTGTTGACAAAAAAAAAAAAAAAAAATGATGGTGGTCGGGGATGGCGGGTGGGGGGGGCAAGAAGAAGAAGGAGAAGAAGAAGAAGACGACCAAAAAGAAGAAGATGATGATGATGATGATTGGCGGTGGAGGATGGCGGCCAGGGGGTGAGAAACAACGGCGAGAAGAAGAAGAAAATAATAAGAAGAAGATGTAGATGGGTGGTGGAGGATGGAGGGCCGGGGGGTGAGAAAGGGCGGGCGAGAAGAAGAAGAAGAAGAAGAAGAAGAAGAAGAAGAAGAAGAAGATGATGATGATGATGATGATGATGATGATGAAGATGGGTGGTGGAGGATGGCGGACAGGTGGTAATAAAGGGTGGGCGAGAAGAAGGAGACAAGGTGGCCGAGAGGAAGAAGAAGAAGAAGATGATTATGCTAGGTGGTGGAGGATGGTGGCCAGGGGGTGAGGATGATGTAGATGGGTGGTGGAGGATGGAGGGCGGGGAGTGAGATAGGGTGGGCAAGAAGAAGAAGAAGAAGAAGGTGATGAAGATGGGTGGTAGAGGAGCAGAGGAAGATGAAGAAGGTGATGAAGACGGGTGCTGGTGGCGATGCGGCCCCATGCGCGCCTGCACTAGACACTGTCGACAGACAAAAAAAAAAAAAATGATGGTGGTCGGGGATGGCGGGTAGGGGGGGCAAGAAGAAGAAGAAGAAGAAGGAGAAGAAGAAGAAGAAGAAGAAGAAGAAGCGAAGGAGGCGGAGGAGGAAAAGAGGAAGAAGAAGAAGAAGAAGAAGAAGAAGAGGAGGAGGAGGAGAAGAGGAAGAAGAAGATCTCTCTCTCTCTCTCTCTCTCTTACTAACACACTTACCTTGGCGCTGCAGCGCGATGGCGGGCGTCGGCGGGCATCGGGGGGTGACGACGGCGTTGGCGGGCGACAGTGGAGTCCGTTGAAGTGACCCGTCGGGGGCCGAAGTGAGGTGTCAGGGGCGAAGTGACGCGTTGGGCGGGAAAGGCCACGGGGGAGAGGACGAGGGCTGATGATTCCCGCTTTGAACAATTCAAAATCGCGGCCCATCTGGGCCGTCGATCCTGGAGATCGACGACGCATATGGGCCCCGATTTCAAATTGTTGAAATCGGGCCTACCGACCCTTTTTTTTTGGTTTGTTGGCCTCGACGGCCTCCTTTGTGGGGAAGAAGGCCCCCCGTGTCGAAAACGGCCTGACCCCCCCCCCCCCCCCTTCTGGGATGCGCTGGGGTCGCCCGGTGGCCAACCGGGCGGAACAACCAGCCAGGCGGCCCGCCCCCCCCCCCGGGCGACGACCAGGTCGCTGGGCGGC